GACCCACTGGGAGACCCACTGGGAGACCCACTGGGAGAGAGACTCTGGCACTGAGAGACACAGAGAGACACACTGAGAGACACTGAGAGAGAGAGAGAACGTATTTGTTTTTTTTGTTGTTATACGTAATTTAATTTGTTGTTGCTGCTGCTGTTCTGTCTTTATCTTTTGGGCGATTCCTTTGATGTCTGTGTATAGGAGCGAACGTGCAAATAAGCATTTCATTGCGCCTGTGTGTATGACAAACAAACCGAACCGCGAGACTGAGACCCTGATACGGACGCTGTCTCCCTCTCTCAGACGTGCCGGCCAGCGGGATGTACTTCATGACGTACGAGTGGCTGAAGCACATCCTGACTCCCGAGGGCAAAAGGTCAGCGCCCGTGCCCGTCTCTCTGCAGCCGCGCGGGGGGCTGGTCAGCCAGCCAGTCTGTGTCGTTTTATCAGGACAGCAGTGCCCCTGACCGGGGGGGGGGCTCATTGACCCCCCCCCCAGAGACGACACAAGTGTCCCGGGCACCGCTGGGGGCTGGGGGTGTGATATCCAACCGCTGGGCCCGGAGCCCCAACATGCAGTTCTCTGGTCACCGCTGGCCCAGATGTGGCCGGGGACCCGCGGGCCTGACCGGGTCGGTCAGGGGGCGTGTGCTTGGGGGGCCCGCCGCCACCTGGCGATCTGGGGCTACTATATTCGTACGGTTGGAACGGGGCGCGTTCGGGCTCTCGAAACCAGGCCGACTGAACAGAACGGGGAGGAGAGCTGGCCCACTGACCCCCCCCCTCTCCCCTCCTCTCCTCTCTCTCCAGTCCCAACGAGCTCAGCGTCCCCAGCGTGCTGTTTGCCGGGGGCATGGCGGGCATCTTCAACTGGGCAGTGGCCATCCCCCCGGACGTGCTGAAGTCCCGGTACCAGACCGGTGAGACGGGTCGTGGGCCGGTGGAGGGAGGGGTGGGGGAGAACAAGAAGGGGTCTCTCTCTCTGCTCAGGGGTCAGGAGGGGGTGGAGAACAGAACAGTCCACTGAACTCTGACTGGGGGGGGAGAGGAGGGAGGGGTGTGCACTGACCCGGTCCCTCTGCCCCTCTGTCCGCAGCGCCGGAGGGCCGGTACCCACACGGTTTCCGGGACGTCCTGAGAGAGCTGCTCCGCGAGGAGGGCGTGGCCTCGCTGTACAAGGGCTTCACTGCTGTCATGCTGCGTGCCTTCCCTGCCAACGCTGTGAGTCTCTCTGGCCAGACTGGGGCCACTGAGCCTGTCCTCTCTGGGCAGCCAGGTCTGCCTGTGTCCAG